GATAAAATTTCTTACTTTACCCTTGTTTTCCATGATATTATTATGTTTTGATTGTTTTGTGTAGTCATGTTTGCGTAGTCCTGAGATGGAGAGAGAGCAGTGCTTTTTAGTTGATCTGAATGAGTCCAATCATAGGTAGAGTCAACTGCTTCATAACCAGTATCATTTCATAAACTAAGTTTATTCATCGGATATTATGGATAAAATATTTTGTTATTCTTATTTTCCTGAATTCACTTTTCATAAATTTTTTTATCTGCCTTTTTTCCTACTGGATAAAAAGCTATTCTCAGATTTTTATGCATAATATAATTTAGTAGAAGAAAACAAATTGGATTTTGTAAAATGTAAAACAAACAAGCAAACAAAGCCTACAGAAGGTTGAAAGTTTTTGTTCCAGCCATATTACAGAATCCAAAATAGATTATTCAAGTCTAAAAATTTGAAGTTATAATTACAGTTTATCGGAACATTGTTTTCAAATTATATTTAAGACTGCTCCTAGAAGATCAAAATGCCCTGCTTTGGGAAAAATTGCCTGTGTTACAGTGGATGTGCTGCCTGTGATTTGGTCCTACAGTTGCAGCAGTCTGGGCATTACTTCATATGTGAAAGTTTTCTTGCAAATTCCCAATAAGCTCCCAGCCATACAAACCTGGATGATTGCAGTGGGTGCTAAGAACTGTGTATATCTGTCCCTATTGCATAATGCTTCCTACTATGATATCTGCCCATGTTTTGTTTTGTTTTCATTTGAATTTAGAGGAAGAAACCCTTTCTTTTATGTGTGAAAAGAAGACACCAAAAAGTCAAGAAGTGCATTTGGTCCTGGGGAATTGCAAGTGGTATCACAGCCTCAAACACCCACCTGACTGCCAATTTAAAAACAGGGAAAATAGAGAGGGAGAATAGGGGAGAGGAGAAGAAGCACAAAGCCAACTGTTTTACAACATCGCAAGGAACTCATTTTGTTTATTACCTTAGTTATTAATGTGCATGTTTAGTTTATATGGTTTTGGTTTTATTTCACAGAATCATTGAATCATAGAATGGTTTGGATTGGAAGGGTCCTTAAAGACCCCCCAGCCCCAACCCCACTGTTGTGGGCAGGGCTGCCCCCCAGCAGCCCAGGGCCACATCCAACCTCAGCTTGAGCACCTCCAGGAATGAGGAGCTTCTCTGGGCAGCTGTGCCAGTGCCTCAACTGCCCTCTGGGTAAAGAATTTCCTCCTAACATCTAATATGAATCTCCTGTCTTTCAATTTAAAACCATTCTCCCTTGTCTTATCAATATCTGCCTCTGTGAAAAGTCAGTCTACCTCCTTTATAGTCTGTTCAGTTTCTTGTTCTCATGCCCCAATAGGAATAGGCTTTGGTTTTAGTCAGTGCGTGATATTGCTTAAATCAGCAATAGGTATAAGTCACAAATGAGCAGTAAGCCAGAGTTGTTCAAAACTCATGGGAGGAAACTGCACTCACAATTGTTAGCATAGACAGGTATATGAATATGGACCAGTGCAAAATTAAAATTCCTTAGATTAGCTGGTTTTTGCTGTCCTTCTGGTTTGATGTGGTTTTTGGTTGTGGTTGTTTGTTGTTTTTTGTTTTGTTTTATTTATTATTATCAAGTTAGAGAGTTGTTTGTTTATGTTGATCGCAAACATGTTGTTCATGCCTCTGTTCCCAAGTATCTGGCCTTCGGGTTTAGATGAGTAAAGTGGTTTGGGTAGAATCCAGATCAGTTCATGCAGAGGCTATGCAGAAAGTAGAAAAGTACATAACAAATCTAAGCATGAATTTTGTATGCACTTTTACTCTAAAAAAGTGTGGGTATATATATGTGCATGCGTGTATGCATATATCCTGTGACACCAATCTAAAATTTTCAGCAGCTTACTGTCTTGCCTAAAACATATGCCACTGTGTATATTTTGTAAAAAATTCAAGGTTTCCCTGTCCTTTAAGGAAACTCAGTTTACGTTGTGAGTAAGGCTTTAAAAATCGCTTGCAGCCATCTATTTACTGTTTTATTTTAAATCCGGTATGTTAAAATGTTTCATACATTCATTCAAACTGCTTTGAGAAAATAATAGTTTAAATATCTGTAATTTTATCAAGTCAGAGTATTTGATAATAAAAATTCATTCTGAAATTGAGCAGGGTGGAAAGCCATGTAGCCTTCATGTAAGGTAACAATTGAAAGCGGCTGATCCGCAGGTAGTACTTTTTGAGCCAAAAATACAAGAAGATACTATCACAATGCTGTATGAAGTGCTCAGAGGTTTCCATGTGAGGTGGTATTACCCATACTGTATCTAGTGGTGTCAAGTGCAAACTTGCAAAGAGGGAATCACTTACATTTCCCATTCTCCCCCTGGTGGGGATGTAGGCTGTGGAGAAGTGGGCCTAACATGACCTGTGAGGTGCTGGCACAGTTGAAGGGCAGGATGAGACCCAGAGTGCTGCATCCCTGTCTGAGGGACCAGACTCTCATAGAACTCAGTAAAGTCCAGCCCTACAGTCAAGCAGGAATATGGTAGGCCCCAGATTGACAGCCTCCATGCATATTGGAGACCGTATGGTAGAAATACACCATTGAGAAGAGCTCTCCCTCACTCTGCTTGGTGCTAATCACAGAGAACAATGCTGGCTGCTTTGCAAAATATTAGTACTGCTGCACAAAATCTGGGCGCCTGCTTATGGCCTGCTGAGTCAGACTTGTTTACTTTGTTGAAGTATTAATCTCTGTCTCTAATCGGCAATCAACAACTCTAGGCTCCAGGCTTAATAGAATTTCCAACTGTAGATTATGCAGTTTTGATGAAAGTATGAGGCTTCTATCGTGCTTTGAATTAAATATTCTCCCTCACTCCCCTTTGGTCTGTTTTCCATGGCAGAGGCAAAGATAGATAATTAATTCCTCCCATCCAAAGCCTTGTCTTTTAATTTAAGAATTTTCTTTAGCATTGGCCCGAATCTTCAGTTTGGAACACTGAGAGGTTAAGCAATGAAGACAGCCACTAAATAAACTTCAGCAATTATTATTTTTTTTTTTCAGTAAGATGAAATAGCATGCAGTGTATCAAATACTTTCTTTGTCATGAAACCAGATGAAATAAACCAGAAATGTGGGGAAAAGAGGCTGATCTTCTCGTTGCATGACAGTGTGATGAGCATGGAGTGCCATCTTCTGATCCTGTGGCTTGGCTTTGCATAAGCAAGTAGTAGAATGTGAGGAAAGGAGCAGTGGAGTGAAACAGCTATTGCTGGGACCTGATGCCCACACTATGCAATTGGGCAAGCGGAAAGGAGATGCTGAGCTCTACTTAGCTAAAATAGCACTTTCTTCAGGTACTTGTAAAGCCCTTTGTGAGAGTGAAGAAGCATCAAGCTCTGTATTGCTGTTCTTTGGTTATATTTTAAAGTTTAAATGATGTCACTGGTGAGTCATTTCTGGCTCTCCTGCTAAGCAGTCTGCCCAGTTCTCCATGCTACATACCTGACGGTCCAGGAAACCCATATGCTCTTTTCACAGACATTACTTCCGCTTTTGGAATTTAGATTTCACTAAACTATACACCAAAAAAATTAGTACAGAATCTTCTGGAGTTATGTTTCAGGCAAACTGCTTATATACCTACTGAAAGTCCAAAACAGTAGGATTGAGTTTACATTTCAGAAGAATGGGAAAGGAAAAAATGTTGTCTTGGAGTCTCTTGAATCAGTGACTTGACTTAGAGTTGATGATGACAGATAGTGCACCACTAATTGTGGCTGAAATGTCACTGCTGTATTCAAAGTTCAGAACTGACAAAAGATGTGCCTGCTGCATTTCTATTCTGCTTCTGCACACATCCAGTCTCTCTCCCAGCACACTTCAAAGAACCTCAGTCTTTTGCAATTGAATCATATAGTTGTCATTTCACAGACATGACACATATTGTGCTTTTGGTAGTAGATTGTTTCTTTTAGCAGCAATATATTGCTCTCCTGGGTTTCAGGACAGATGGTAATCAGAGCCACTGAATGTTGGGAAATCCTGAGGAAGTTCAAAAACGCATTCACAGATCAATCCTCTTGTGCATACACTGGAAGCCCAGTGCTGCAGCTGTGTTAGATTCCCTGTGCACCTGACTGTGTACAAAGGGGATTTGCCTGGGTCACAGTTAGTCTGAAATGCACAATATACAGAACAGTATCTACATATACTGAGAAAGGTGTACAAGATTTGCCAGTGATACAGACTGCTTCTTGGAGTTATTTCTGCTTATGCATCACTTCAGTTAACAATTATTTTTAAATGATACGTGTAAAATAAGGAAACCTAAGGGAAAGCAAGGACTGCTTGAACTGGTCATGCAAAACTGTAATCATTCTCATCGCATCTTTTTGAATAAAATAAGCATTGAGAAATCCACTTTTTTTCTCTATTTTGCTTTTGGTTTAGGTGCAGAGTTACTTGAAATTGAAAGTTTTTACCACTGACCAGAATGCTATATTTTAACATCATGGTGATATTTTTAAAATTTCAGTATATACTTGGGATTTGGTCCTTTCATCTAAGCATAAGTACTGAACATAAATTAGTTGTCCTAGATCCCTCTGTGGACAGAAGAAAGGTACCTCGCAAGAGGGACTCTCCGCATCCTAAGCTATGCAATGAAATTTATTTGTGCAAATAACCTCTAGCCATTGATTGTGTCTCTGTAGGGAAGCTTGAACAATTCATTCAAATGGATTAAGTAAACTGCAGATGCCGAAAGCCAGGAAATTAGATATAATGAAGTTCTGAACTTTTTGCATACTCTGAGCATTATGCCTGATGCTCAATCTACTCAGCATGATTCTCCTTATTTAAATGATTATTTCATGTTACTATTTTTCCATTCTGTTGATAACTGCTTTAACAGAAGTTGCTGAGAAAGTTCACCATTCAAGATACTGCTCCAAGTAGTTGCAAACTTCTGTTCTCTTACCTGTACTATTTTTGTCTTCTTTAGTCTTCTGGTACCAGTATCACAGTGGATATTGCAGTCATGGGAGAAGCGCATGGGCTCATTACAGATCTTCTGGCAGATCCTTCACTGCCTCCCAACGTGTGTACTTCGCTGAGAACAGTGAGCAACCTGCTTAATACACAGTTAACCTTCCAGGCCATCCACAAGCCAAGGGTGAACCCTCTGGTATCCTTCAGTGAGAATTACACATGCTCTGACTCGGAGGAATGTCCAGAGAAAGGAGAAAAACTAGCAATTCCCAAGGTGAGTATTGGACAGTAACTCCATGTGTCATCTTATGACTTGGCTCTCCTTTAAGGGACAGCACTATGCTAGTGGGAGATCTCTTCAGGCTTTTTCCTTGTTCGATTCAGATTACCATTTTATGTATTAATCGTAGTTTTCTATAAAAAGAAAATTAAATAGACCGCTTATTTGATAGTAAAACAATCCCTGCATATCCTACAACTCATGGCCAGCTAAACTTTTGTTCAGGCATCTTTAAAAGATGATGTTTGACACAAAAAATTCACATAGATGATGCGCGTGTTTTCTTGTGGGTGCTGGTTGGAGCTTAAGAGAGAAGAAATGATCAGGAACAGGGCAAGCAAAAGCCTTTCAGCATCCAGACTCACAAGTCTGACTCATTAGTTCTCACAAAGAGTTTATCCTCCCACTCCAGAGATTTTTGACACTGCATGTGGGGTGACCAGAAAAATATATTACTGCCTTGACAGATGGCTTTATGAATGCTTGGGAATTCAACAGGGATATAATCACTGTTAACTGTCGATGTTTAGGAAGTTAGCAGCTAGAAAGAACAGATCAGCTTTGAAGAAGTATGAATTGTATGCTTATTGCTGATGAGCTGTCCTGCAAGGTCTGCATTTCACTTTCAAAGCCAAACCAAAATACTTTTACCATGCAATCTCACTTGTAAAATTAAATATAGACGGCGTATATTGCCTAGTGAATGCTTTTAACTTTTAACAGTTGAAATGACACAGCCATTCTAGAATTTTCTGGCATCTGAACTGCAACACTTGTGATTCTTTTTAATTTATTTTAGTATTATGATAATTATTACCCTGCTTGCCAGTGTAACAGCTACATATATGGAATGGGTGTTTGCAGGTCTTGAAGCACAAGTTCTAGTTAAGTTTAGTGCATATGTGTGCAATGACTGTACTCTAGAATCTTAGAGGAAAGATTATGTGGAAGAACACTGCCATCACATGAGCGGACACAGTGAACAGATTTCAGTTTGTAGTTGCGTAGTACCTAGTGAGGAGCAGAGAAATGAAGGATGAAGAAATAAGTTAATGTTACAGAGAAGTAATTTGACTGAAGAAATCACTGACCTGAATGCATTATGGTTCATAAAATTAATAGTTTGCAGTCATTTATTTATGTGTCTAAATATAGATTTAGAGTCTTTACCTTAAGCATCTGACATAGAGTATTTGGGGTAAGAAGTTAACATGCTAACGTATTTACCTGTGTGCCTGAGCTTCATACCTAAGAGTATCTTCCATCTTAACTTTCTCAACCCTCTGGCAAAGTCAAAGTTCTTCATCACAGAGACATACTTATTTTAGTTCTTAATTATAAAAACTACAATATAATTACAAGAGAAACATTTTACAAAATCATGATACAAAGGCTCTCTGTCGTCATCTGTTATTATCAGTGACTGTGTTCGAAAGCTTTGGAAAAATGAACCATGTCGTATTAGAGAAAAGGAAGAGTCAGGTGAAAGACAAATGCAGGGTGGTCAAGAAAAATCTTATGTAAAGGATGATACTCTCTCTAAGCTTTTCAGAAGCTTTTCCAGAAGCTTGAAGTTGAATCTTGAAGATCTCCATACTTGTAGACTCTACAACTTCTCTGGGAACCATTTCCAGTATTTGATCACCCTCACTGTATTTATTTATTTGTTTGTTTGTTTTACATCTTAATTGAATTTCTTGTATTTCCATTTGTGCCCACTGTCTCTTGTCAAAAAGCTGATCCATCATCCTCCCTCTTCTTGCATTCACGTATTTATTCACATTGATAGGATCTCCCTTTGAGACTTCTGCAGACTGAACAGTCATGGTTCTCTCAGCCTGTTGTTTTATGGCAAATATTCCAATCCCTCAGTCTTTTTTTTTTGTAGCCCTGATGACTTGTTTAAGTGCTTTTGGCCACATCATATAAGATTAACGTTTCCAAAGAACACCATTAATGTCTGTCTCCACTGAACTCCAAGTGTTGGACACTTATAGCTATGGAGTTGTGAATATATAGCTTTCCTTGAACTTAAAATAGGGAGGAAATCCTGTACTTTCCAAGCACTGAGACCACCAGCCTTTGCTGAATTCAGTGGAAGACAGGCGCCATGTTATGTGGACGAATCCAGAACAAAGGTACTTTACCAGATACTGCCAGGTATATTAATCAAATGCTATAAAATGTTTTTCTTCTGCATATTTAAAGTTTTCAAAAGCCTATATACCTATATAGACTCTAAGCAAGTGATTTTTCTCTAGCGCTTACGAAGAAGTTTGCCTCCAGGACTGCTGAGACGAGTGTCCTCCACTTGGACCACAACAACATCAGCCACAGGTTTACCCACACTGGAGCCAGCCCCAGTGAGAAGAGATCGCAGTGCCAGCATCAAACCTCACGAATCATCTTCATCCAGGTTACATACTACTTTGTCTCTCTTTTATGCCCATCTTTGACGACATTTCTTTGGTTCTGTGTGGTGATGTCCATCATTTAAAAGTTATAACTATGTTTGAACAATTTCTACACATCTCAGTAAGTCAGGTTACCAAGGAAGCATCACACTGAATTTTAGTCAGATGATGCTGTAACTATTACTATTACCAGAAAGCAAAATGAAAACAACAACAACAGCAACAAAAAACAAACTGTTTATTCTAGCAAAGTAAAGGTTTCAGAAAAGTTGAGTGTTTCTTCTGCATTTCAAAACCTGTTGGCAATAGTGGAGAAGAAGATAGAACCTGAGAAGGCCCAACATCCACAGATGGATAATTTGGTTGAATACAGCCTCAGAGCACTTCTTTTATCAACCTTTCTATCATACAGGGAGTCTAGGTGCTCAAGGCAGCTTGCAGAGTACACTGACTGTCTGGTGCAAGAAAAATACACGGCTAGCCAAACTTCCCTTTATAAGGAGTCCCATGTATCTCAGTAAAAGTAAATACAAAGAAGCTATAGTCAAATGGAAATATTATTCCAGTCATCAGTCTGTGGTTTGCAGGGTGCATTTGATTTATACTGTTGATCCCAAATTCTCATACACTATTTAAGCATCCTAAGATGGGAATACAAGGGAGAAGGAAAGCAATTAAATATTATTGTTGGTCCTTTTCTACAGTTGTTATATAACTATGCTTGATGAGCCAACTGTGCAGGCTATCAATTCTTTCTGCATTTAATGTTGCCAATTGTGTAATCATAGCTCTGTCAAGCCTTCCAGCCTACTGTTTGCAGTTCTTTTACAGTAGGAGAAAGAATGCGTATTCCAGAAGGGGGAAAAATGAAGCCCATAAGTAAGTCTAGCTTTAAAAACGTTGGCAGAGCAATACAAATTTACTTTCAAGGAAAATAAAGTTGAACTGAAGGGGAAGAAAAATCCTGATTATCTGCCACTTCCCCTGTACGAAAATCAACCACACTACATATTGTATAAAAGGGACTGTTTCATGAATTGGAGAAGAGAAGGAATGACAATGGAGTTGGTCTGTGGTAGTTCCTGCAATAAGAAACTGTTCATCTTGTTCCCTATACACTAGATTTCTATAGTTACAGATTTGCAAAAATCCCCTTAAATCTCTGTTTAAGATTAGGAGTCTTGTATTCCTGTATCCCTTGTCACAAAAATAGTAAGTCATAGTCATCTTTTAGCTTTAAATGATTTGGGAAAAAAAACTTCCCTATTCCTGCTCTCAGTCACATTTCCGTCCAGTGAATCTTCTTTAAGAAGTCAAATAATAGAGTTGTGGTGGTTTACTTCTTTGCCTGATTGGTTGGTTTTGTTTTTCTTTATGGTGGACCAGTGTTTTATATTCTTTCTGCCAACTGACAACCCTCCACCACTCCAAACAAAACCAACCAACCAACCAAACAAACAAAAAATTAAGAAAAAAAAAAAAAAACAACACAAAAGATGACAACAACAACAACAACAAAGAGCTGGTTTCTATCTTTCTACATCATTACATATTATAGAAATTTGAGCCGATGAAGACAACCAGCAAATGTTATTGACAAGGCAGTGCTTGCTTGTCCATTACAGTAAAATGTTAGTGGAATTAAGACACCTTTTTTGCTTAATTTTCCCCCCCCAAGTTTGGCTAACACTAGGCTGCTTTAAAAGCCTGTCTTCTGCCTTGCATGTCCTCTCACCACTTGGTGTGGGAAGGATGTGGACATGAGGCTTTGAGGAGAAGTGTGGAGCCTGAGAGAACTAATGGATCCGTTCAGATATATCTTTGTCCTCATAGTAAAAGCCAGTGCTGCCTCACTGCAAGAAGCTGACTTTTGATGACTGTCCTTTGGGAAAAAAGTGATAAATACTGTATTGCTACTTTATGAGACTATTTGGTGTCTTCTGGTAAATGACCTAATAATGACTGAAAACATGTCCCCTTTCTTGTGTGAGTGACAAACATTTGATCATTGTCACTTTTCCACTCCCCACAAAATACGCATCCTTTTTTCCTTTAGAGGATTTAACGTGGATCAGTAACCAGTGTTCTCAGGATCTGTCAGTAGGATTTATGTCTGAAATGCAGCACTAGATATCCAGAGCACAAAGTGCTCCACCCGGAGAAGGGGCACACCACCACCAGCAGCAATGCAATGCTCTGCTAAGCCTCTTCTGTTCTCCTGAAGTCTCTTCTATTGCCCATAGGGTTAATGGATATCTGTCTTCATGGTTGCATCAGAATCAAGGAGATATCAAGGAGACTGATTTTTCACTTATATTGAGAATTTCTGGCACTTCTGGTTGTTGTAAAGTGGTATTGAAAGACTATATAAATTTAACATATTTCAGGCCAATTTTGAAGCATCTTTTTAACTGATCTTTGTGTAAGTAAAGTGAATAGGCATGAGGACTGAAGGAAGTCCAGGAGTGCCTACATTGTAAATATTTTTTCTGAATATGATATTCCTCACGAACAGTAATCCAGCTAGCAAATAGATGCTATTTTCCTCATCAGAGATTCTGTGCCATCTCAGTACCAGAAAGCTCTCGCGCTGTCTTCGGATATCTTCAGATTTTCCATGTAGGTTTTACTGTGTTGAAAAAGGCTTGTTTGCCTTCTCGTTTCACAGCACTGACTCTTGGAACAGTTCCCTTCTGATGACAATCACGAAGAGCAGGTCCTTCTCTACATCTTATGCCATGTCTCCTACCAACCACCTGAATGCCAAAAGGCAGAGCCGCCAAGGTGAGTGGTCACCCATGGTCTTGTTGGACTCGCTCAAATTCTTCCTGGGAACTTGGTGACTAGAACATGCAGCTGCTTTTATTCTCTGCCCAATCTGTATATGTTGATATTTTTCCATCAGTGATGCCATTCTAAATGTTTTGATTTTATGATTTATAGAGGCTATTCACGGCATGATAAAACAAGTGGTATACTGAAGTTTTGTTTTGATCCATGAAATTCACTTGACAACAGTAGGGCTGAGGAAAGAGTGTTTTCTGTAACATTTGTTAAATTAAATGTCTCTGTATGTTGCCTGACTGAGATTTCCTGAAACACAATCTGCATAACACCATTTGGAGTTGCAGGCAGCAGCTGACCCTTCTTAATGCAGCCATATCCAAGACAAAAAGATTCTATCTCTGAAGTCTGTCTATGTATGTTCACTGTCAAGGAAGTCCTTGTATCTCTTACTGATGTTTAGAAAAGATAAATATGTTGTTTTTATTTTTGTTCTTTACTTGGCTTATAGGACCTTTAAAGAAATGACTTTTGTTTTAACTGAGAGACTGATGTAGAGAAGGTGACTTCTTTACTGACAATGGAAAGCACGGTATAACAGACATGAAATAGTCTTAATCCACAGTAGTGTTGTTCTCTTCCCTGTACAAATGAGAGATAAGATAACATTTACCCATACTTTAAATTGCAATTGATCACTATGCTTGGTTTTTGTTTTTTTTTTTAATTTGTTTTGTTTTTTAATTACCTCATTTTTTTTCCAAACATGGAGTAATGTTGAGATAATGCTGTTTAGAAGTACTGGCCACCCAGACGTCAGGTGGAAATTGATAGATGCCTGAGGCCTGGCATTGAAAAAGTCAGGGAATCCAAACTTAGAGATGAGTTTGAAGATACGGCTGCACAATTATTCTACATATCTAGCTCGGTCACATCACATCTCTTTTTTAAACTGGAAAGTCTATTTAATCTCCTCTTGTACAGAAGACATGTTACAGTGAAGATTCACTAGCAGAATATTATCTTACTAGAGTAGCCAAACAGCAAATTGAAAACATTTAAACTTAAAACTAATGGAGATGTAGCACCAAGGATCCAGGGATTTGTTGTGGAACATAACAAATCCAATTTAGACTTATGATTTTCAGAGATGAGCACATTAACTTGAAAATGTGTAGTTAATATTTTGTACTGGGAAAACAAGACTTAGCACTCCTATCAGTCAGTTTTACATTCATCTGTTCTGCTTGCAGAAGGCGTTAGTAGTAATCTGGTTGCCCAAAAACACGAGCTCCCTAGTGGTGAAGGGAGAGCTCTTTTCCATCACAAGCAATTTTTGACACTGAAGATTGATACTTTAATGCTGTAAGCTGTTTACAGTTATGGATTTTTAATTATGTTTTGCTTTTATGTTCTGAATAAAGAATTGCTTCAATTTGCAGTAATTATTACCAATTAGACTTTTGTATATTGGCTCCATTGGCAATACGTAACGATTCTTGCTGGGAGTTGCTCTAGATAAATTTGTAAACCTATTAATTTACAAAATGTGTCTTAAATTATGCTTGGAAGCATAGCATTTTAAAGTACTGCTAACTATATTTGTTTTGGCAAAACTCTCAAGTATAATTTCACGTTGCATCAAAATTACTGTTTTATTTCTTCAACTCTGAATGTTAAAAATTTCTGCAGATGGATACACTTAAAAAAAAAAAAAAGTAGTTTATATCATTCATCTTCTCTTACTTTGATTGTTCAAGGTTCCTTCCGATAGCAAGACATGTTTTCTCTCACTTTTGGCAAGAAAATGCTTAAATGTCAGATTATTTAAAATAGTTTATTTTTGTTTGTTTGTTTGTTTGTTTTACTTACCCTGGTAGGAAAATGTTCAAAAGATAGGAGTCCAGTCTAGCAAAAGAGAGCTGGCTGTGATTAGAAATACTGTTGTGAAAGTCATTGTATGAATTCTGAAACTTGCATTAAGTTATTAAAAGATACATGTATTGCATTCTGTGGCAGTCATAAAAGTTACTTGATAGCTTACACCTCAAATATAGTTAATAATCCAACTCAAAAATCCAACTGTTTGACTAGAAGACTTAGAAGTGTTTTTAAAACATATTTTTGTCAGACAGAAAGCAGATCTCTCATTGGATTAGTAGCTGTAAAACAAAACATTTCTGTAATTTAATTAAATTTCCATGTTATGGCCATTGGATAACTTTTTAACTGCTCCATACACTGTAGCCTTCTGATCTCAAAACTAGTATATTATCTTCGTGGAAATCACTGAATTAAGACAGCAATATGAATATTGTTTTCCAAGGAAATTCTGTAATTAAAAACTTAGATGATGTTGAATATCTCAAAATTACAGTATAGTAACCATCAAAGATTATTTATTACTCATCAATGGGCAACAGAAATCATATTTTAACCTCACGTCACAGTAAGCTATCAGGAAAAAGCATTGGAACTATAGACATATATCCTCCCAACTTAAGCCAACATGCAGCCTTATTCTAAGTTAATTGTACCTGGAATGCTTTTAGATAGCAGGCACAATTCAAGCATAAAACCAGTTAAAGCTCACAGTTTATGTCATGGAGATGAACATGGTAGATGAGCTGGGATTGAGTTCCTGCAGACTTTAGAACTAAGTTCATGAGGTATGCCTATTTAAATGCATTTCCATTAAAGAGAGATGCTTTTTGCACCGCTATGCTTTATTGTAACGGAACCGTTTTGTCTGAGACTAGAAAATGTAAGTTGGATTTGAAGAAACAGCAGCACTTTATATCACACACTGGGTTCACTGATGCATTTCATCTTGGGAGTGGTGCTGAGATAGAATTGAAGACAGGAAGAACAGCGCCAATGTTTGTACACATGAATATTACTAGATTCTAGCTCAGGAGTACGTACCATGTGGTACAGGTAATGGTTATGAGTTTTCCATTGTGAGGAAGACATAATTGAAAATAAGTTCAAACTGCATTAAATAAAGGCCAGAATCAGGAAGGAATGCAAAAATGGCACCATAAGTACAATATTTTATATTACCATAATGTATATATACTTACTAAGAATTGCTTTATTATTATTATTATTATTCTTTATATATTGCTAATAATCTCACATGTAGAAATCCAAATTTGCTGAGAATGTGGGTTAGCCGTTCTTGTCCCTTCTGAACAGATGAAGACAGTAAAGCAAGGAGTATTTGTAGATAAGTCTGGGAACTGGCTTGTTGGAGTTTGGTGCCTCTGTTACTGGAACATACTGATACCAGTAGTGATGTCCCCAATGTGTGCTTTTCATTTCATGCCTTCTAGTTTATTCCTCCTACCCAGTAGGGAGAATATGCTCCATGCTTTGAGCACAATCTTCTGCAGGTGGAAGCAGCTGATAGTAATGGAGCTTCATCATTCTGTGACAGCCATGAGCTTGGTTGAGAGTAGAGAAGGGTTCTGCTTATGTATTAAAAGAGAACTATTTGTGCACTCAGTGAACTCAACCATCTACTGCTACTGTAACGACAAGACTCTTCTCTCACCAGGTATCCCACCAAATATTTCACCACTCACCTCTCCATGCCATTCACCTCTTCAAGGGACACCTGCTACAAGTCCTACCGGAAAAACATCTTCTGTGTCATTTCCAGACTCTACAGATACTGACAACAAGCAAGGTTTAAAGCCACACAAAGTCTTAACTGCTACTCAGAGTGCACCTAGCCTGTCAGAACCTAACATCAGCCCCACTGTTATCTGCAGCAGGTAAGATGGTAGTTTGACATATGTTGGATCATTTCCCATTGTCCTCACAAACAAACTTTACACGCGTGTACAAGTTCTTGTAATCTGCTACAGTATTGATATTTTACCTATTTAAGCAGTTCTCAGTATGCAGTTGTGTAGGTTGCTGCTACATTTACAGCTTTTTTTTTACTTTTTTATGTCTGCTTCATGAACAAATTCTTCATCAGTAGCATTCAGATCTGAAAGTTGGATTTTGTGTTAACAGCTTGAGTTTCTCATGCCATGCTGCCAACATGAGCAACCACTTTGAGGTCATAGGCCAAGTCTTTCAAAACAGGCACCTGAGGTTAGATACAAAAATATAACTGCTGGAGTTTAAAATCTGCTGGCCTATAACCCTCTGCCTAGTATCTGATAGAAGTGTTCCAGCAGTGCCTGAAGAATAAGGAATTTTGAGGACTGGCTCAAAAGGAGTGGAACTTGTCTTCCCTAAAGTAGAGTCAGATTATGTGGCATTGGGATTTTTTTCAGAACTCAGCTGCTGCTGAGTTCCTCTTATAGCCATGAGTCACAGTAATGGTTTAATTTCACACTTTAAGGCATCTTATTATTAGATTTGTCAAATTAGGCTACTGGAGCTTTCAATATGTGTCCAGCTCAGAATAGCTGTAAACACTGGTATTTAGATGCTGGCTCCAGTACAGTTTCAAACTGATCTTACCTTTTAGTTGTTACATTTAATATAGTAGTAAGTTGTTTGTGAGTATTGGCTAGCCAGCAGGCACCATGTTTGAACTTTCACAGTGTAGATTGCTGTATTTGTGATATGTGGTGCTCTATAGTTACTGCAAAAAACCTGCCTTGCTGCAAAGTAGTACCAACTCAGCAAACCCTTACAACCAACAAATCAACTCCCTCCCTCAACAACAATAGAGATAATAAACTCTCAATGGATTCTGTGCTTTGAGTCAGATCCGTCCAGGCAATGGCATCAAGACAGCAGTTTTGCTTTCACACAGAGTGACATATGATAGGGCAACCGAGTGTGAAGGTGTTATTAAACACGAGCATGTACTAGGCAATGCTGTTAAAATAATGTTTAAGTCATGTCTCTTAATTTTGTTTAGTGGGTGAGGCAGGTATCCAGTGAAATAATATTCAACAATGCTGTGATTAAGAACTATGTTATAATCCCTACACATAAAGGGGATTGGTTTAAAGTGTTTTATTTGGGCCACACATACTAAATAAGTATGAATTTGTATGTGATCTGAAAGCAAAGAGGTGCATTCATAATAACACTACAGCCTTGTGACACAACCAGTCAAAGGCTCTGTTCTTCTTATTTACATTTTGGCTTGTTGTCATTGACCTTATGGAAATTGAGCCATAGGTATCATAACATATGGATTTGTAGTTTTATTTTAAATTCTTTCTGATATTCATGATTGCAGGACATACCAAATTCCAGAATATGTTTTTGATGACCCTGACAAATAGGATTTCAGCCATTTTGGTATGGTGCTCTTACTCTGTAGAGTTTCTAGTCTGAAGTTTGACCAATTTAAATACGTTTTTAAATTTTCTCTTTGCAAAGACTATTTGTACCACAAAATGTGAAGTACAACCAGAGAAAGATGTTAAAATGTCAACATGGGAAGATTTTTTTATAATGCTTCTAAACATTCTTCCGTCAGGTCTGAGGTACACTAATATTGGAACATCGTTACCTGAGATGTTCCAGCTAGCACAGTATTCCTGCTTAAAGGGAATCACACAAAAGGAATAAAGCATTTTAGTGCAAATAAAGAGCCAGGCATTTGGAAAAGCCTTCCTGTTGCAGTCCTTCCCACAGTGTCTGTCCTGTCTCTTTTTGCTACGTGTCTGAATGCCAAATCAGTCACCTTGTATTCTATCCCAAACTCCCCATTTGTTCTGCTATAGTTTGTTTGCTGTCACTACAGTAATGGCAAAATAATTTTTTGCATTATTACAGAGAAATAACGTGATGATGTTGAAATTGAATTATATAGCATTGTATGGCATTCTGGCAAATTTTCACTCTTTTCTTTAATCCATGCTCATAGCACAGCTGTAGAGGTTTTTGTTTGTGTGTGTGTTTTGTACTGACAAAGTTATAAAATTAAAAGGTGTTGTATGGTTTAACTGTAGGCAACACAAATTAATTGCACTGGTCGGATAATATAAGGTATAAACTTATCTTTTCCATTTCTGTCTTCCAGTAAAACTTCAGCTCACTCTTATAATTTTGTCTTTAGAATACAGTCGATGCCATAGCTTGCAATATATGACTTAATCATTTAATGCTAGCAGGAATTCTTTTTGCATACGACTATCCAATGCACATGGTCTTTATATTGTGTATGTTTCTTGATGTTTTTTCAGCTGCGGCAGACCCTACAACCAAATAGAAGCTGGTGATGGTACACTAGATAGAAGCGATGGTACCACCCACACTTTAAATAGAACAGGTAATTCTTTGTTGAACAAAAGCTCCTCATCCTTTAAAATGTAACAATTGTTCACTGAAAAGGCAGATATGCCTCAGTCTCACAGAAAGAAAACATATGAAGGTGAGACCAAACAAACAGCCTTTGAGGCTTCTTTCCTTTTTTGCTTGTTCAACATCTGGAAAAGTCTTATGAAGAATATAGATACATTGCAAAAATAAATATGGTTTACCATATGGTTTAATCTAAGCTAGCCAGCACAAATAATGGCCATCAGAATTTTTCCTGGTTTTCAGTCTCTGTTCCAGTTTTTTACACTCTGCAGGATATATGCTTTAATACCTTTGGACAGCTTGTTCAACTTTAGACCCAGCCAAGCAGCACATATGTATTATGAGTCAGAGATTCTGTTCTTAATATTCAGAAGGTCACAAGATGACGTTCTTGCAGTCCTTGCTGTTCATACAACCAGCTTTGTTACTTGTCTTCTAGATGATCCTGCGCAAGCCACTTCTGACTATGAGACCAACAACAGTGACAGCAGTGATATTGTACAAAATGATGATGAGGCAGATTGCTCCAAAGAAAAGGCACGGAAGGGATCTGTCTGTAGAACATATGCACCTGAGACCATCATTCTGCATCCTTTGATACCACCTGAGGTAGCTTGTTTAAATTCTGTTGTCAACACTGGCTGAATGTATACAGAATCTCAAGAAAAGAAGAAAGAAAGAAAAAAATCCCCTAGGGCAATCAAAAGATTAAGTCCATGATTTAAAGCAAAAAAAAAAAATCATCAGATCAGGCTCATACCTTTTAGTAGCTTCTAAGCACTGACCAGTTGTGAGGCGCTAACAGTATATTTTGATGAATTAGTATACGCTTATGGATCTGGCATTTGGCGCTTGTGAAGTGTTTGGCTTCTGTGTTAGTGTTGCCTTTAAAGGGAATAGATTGGAAGGAAAAGAATTTACTATTTCAGACTACCAGCATGATGTACTATCTTCCTGCTCAGCCACTTCAGCTTCTCAATGGCCTTGCAATCTTGATAACATATTTTGAGCCTTAGTTTAAAATAAGTAAACACTTTCTTGAGGTTACTGCATGATATTATCGTCATCATATGTCTTGAATGTAAGAACACTGACAAGTGTTGATCTTCTCACAACTGCTGTATTCAGCTGTGGATTTTATTCAGAGGTTAAGTTCAGTTATTTTTTTTACAATCTGCTGTACAACTGGATTAAGAAATTTAACTTGGCTTGACATCTTGAAAAAATCATTCTAATCTGTTGAATTGGAGTTGGACATGCTGAAAGGAGGCATTTTTCCTGAGATATTTACTCATCTACAGTTTCACAGAAATAAAGAAATACAAGGAAGTGTACAAAAGAAATGTGATAGTAGGGGAGTACCCCATCTTTTGTTTGCAGGCCTGGAAAGTGGTAGGTCTCGATTTGGTAAGTCTTCCCTAACAACGTGCTCCATTAACCAGGATAGATTGTAATGGATGTGTCCTGATGCAGAAGGAGAAACTGAACATTTTCCCCTCTGTACTGCAGCAAATTTTACAATGAAGAAAACTCAGTTGGAAATGAATGAGTGATTTCCATGAATGAATGAATGAATGAAGGAATGAATGAATGTCATGGATAAGTTCAGAGACTGATGTTTCATAATACAGAATTTCCTATCCATATGAGCGAAACAAATTATAAAAGAGTGTCTAGCTGCAGGGCTGGTAGAAATGAGGACAGCTCTGCTGAGCTGAATTAAACACCATTGGCTTAGAAATGATTCTAACATGACCTTAGTTTTTCAGAACATAATTTTTTTGCATGAGTTGCTTCACAGAACTGAAATTTATTTTATTCTATTTTCTGGCATAGGACAAGCCTGTACTCGCTCCTGAGCCTCTGGTTATGGACAATTTGGATCCTCTAATGGAGCAGCTTAACAGCTGGAACTTCCCAATCTTCGATTTGGTAGAAAAAATTGGAAAGAAATGTGGTCGGATTCTCAGTCAGGTAAGAATGACATCTCAGTTGTGATGACTCGCTAGATCATTCAGATTTGATTTATTTGACATAGTGCTAAGACCCATAAGCTGATTATTCTATAAATGATGACCCCTGACATGTAAACTAGAGCTGACAATATGAATTCCTTGTCAATAAATTTCTTACTTTTAAATTCTCATTACTTTTAATTTAACAATGTGAAAGAAAAAAAAGCTAGATATCTATTTTGCCTGCTTCTGTCCAAAAACAAGTTCGCATAAACCCTTTTGAACACC